TGTTGAACTTATTTATTTCTTCTGGTAGTTGTTAGTGAATATCTCAAGATTTTTAAAATACTAGATCAAGTCTTCTTCAGATAGAGAAAATTTCACTTCTTCTCTAAGTTGAGTGAATTAAATTTCTTTTTCTTGTCTTACATTTGGCTATAGCTTCCAGGAATTGAGTAGAACTGTTCAACATGAACATCTTTGCCATTCTGCTGATTTTAAGGGATAAACATTTAGTGTTTCACCACTGAGTGATGATATTAACTAAGACTCATACATAAACATCCTTCATAAATTTTGGAAGTTTTCCATTATTCCTAATTTGGTGTGAGTTATTGATCACAAAAAATGGAAAGCAGGGAGATAGAAGTTTTGCAAAGGGAAGGGGACTAAAAAGATAGGGATGGGAGAAGAAGACAATGGATTAACTCCCCACAACCAATGTAATCATTACATGCTGCAACCATGTGCTAATTTAAAAAGTTTTAAAAAGTGTTAGATGTTACCAAATGCTGTTCCTGCACATTTTAAGATAATTGTGAATGTGCTGGTTTTTGTTTGTTTACCCTTTGTGTCATAGTGTATATGCTGTTGCATTCTATTTCCTGGTATTGGTTGAGATAGACTTCGCTATGCCCTTATCTGTCTTGTGATGCTTTGTTTTCATTTATAAGGGGTAACGGATTGAAATATACAGTGAATGCTTAAATTTTTTAAAAAATGTATTGCAGTAACAGACACATTGCCATTAACTCCCCTTAAAATACTGCTGTTTGCCTTAAATCCATTTATCTCATCATTTTGCCACATTCTGAATCAGTTCTGGAGGTCTTCTTTCCTCTCTTTGCAATGTACAGTAAAAAATATGGAGAACACTGAAGTCTTGTGCCATCCAGTGCAGACCAGGGAAGATACCCCAGGGTCAAGAAGTAAATCCACCCAATAGTTGATTTTTGAGAAAAATTCCAAGAACGCACACAAGAAGGAAAGGTCAGTCTCTTCAGCAGTGTTGCAGTAACCACATACTCGTGCAGAAGAATGATGTTAGACCCTTATCTCTCACCCCCAAACCCCAATAACTCATAACGAATTAAAGATTTAAAACCTAAAATTATAAAGTTACTGGTAGAAAATTGGAAAAGCTCCACAACTTTCGTCAGTGTGATACCTTTTTTGCATGGGACTCTCAAAGCAAAAGCATTGTAGCAAAAATAGACAAGAGGGATTGATTGAGCTTTTGCATGTACCTTTGTGTATGGGTGTGTGTGTGTGTGTGTGTGTGTGTGTGTGTGTGTATCTGTTTTAAGTGCAAAGTGATATCTGCCTTTGGATTAGGTTTTGAGACTAACTTCAAGGCAAATATATTGAATAAGGTCCCTAAGCAGCAAGGACCATATTTTTGAAAACAAATGCATCACTACTAAATGTACACAGCATATTTGTGCTACTTATTATAAGTATTTTTGCTTCGCTAGTCCCTACATTCCTACACATACTTACATTTGTCCTGGCCTTTCTACTCCCCAGGCAACTTAAGATTTTATCCTGTGCATATCTGTGGCTGTCCTGTTATTCTCTGGGTGAGTGGGGGATTGAATGTTTCCTTAATATTATCAAAGAGGGACTAGGTCACTAAAGTCCATAACTCCATTCTGAAGTTCTAGCACTGTCAGACCCTTGTAGTTCTATATCTTGTAGTTCTATATCTTATAGATCTCTTTTCTGTGTTTGCATTTGAGACATTTCATGATTATATCTGCAGGCCTGTGATGAAGATTTAATTTTTGTTTTGGTTTGTTTTGTGTTTGGCTTTGGTTGGCTGGTTTTCTGCATACTATTATTTCCTTTGCAAATAAAGGCTGAAGATGGTGAAAGGTAGTGAGTGCGGCTTTGGTGAACTGCATCACCAAAATTATGGTTGGTTTTGAAACTCCTGCTGTGGGCTCTGCCGATAGAGCACCCTGCTACTCAGAACGCTGCCTCTGGCTCAGAGTCAGCCTGACCTCTTATTTAAAGGTCAGTGCAGGTTTTGGAAACCAAGCCACTCCCTCTCAAACAGCCATCAGCAATCCTGATGTCAGTGTATTATGTGGGCTACTGTGACTTCCTAGCTGTTAGCATAATGGCACATGGCTTCAAACTATGCTTCAGTAAGTTGCTTCTTCTTAAAACCTTTTAGCATTCCTGAATCTCACCATGCACACATATTTCACTTTTAAATAACAACAAAAATATCTACCTCGTTGCTTCAAGTTAATTGTGTGAGGAAAAAAAATCCTCCCTCTTTGTGATATAAGGAAACACTAGTTCATATTTCACGTTAATCTCTTCTCTTGCTAGAAAAAGGATCTCCAGGACTAGAATACAAGAACCTTTCAACTATAATCAAGAGAGTTAGTTTATACTTTCAGGTAACACACTTTCTGTTTAATTCGTGGATTTAACATTGCTTTAGTCCAGCAAAAATGATTGTTTAGAATACCAAAAGTTTACATTTTGCTCCTTGCCACTTAGAAATAGGGAACAATTAAATCAACAATTATATGGTCTATGAAAACTTTTCCTCATGATTGCAGCAAACTTACTGATGCTATGGAAATTATTTTAAAAGAAAATAATTATTAATTTCCATGGCCTACTAATTGGACAAGTATTTGTTAAGAAAAATGATTTTAACTAAGCTATGCAAATATCCACTGATTTTGAGAAGAACGAGAAGACAGTAAGCAGGCAATATAAAGAATTCATAAATATCAGAGTTTTTCAGAAGACACATGAAGGCTTTTAACATGAAGTAACTGTGAGAATAGTGGACTGCCTCTACCAGTGTTTTAAACTGTTTGCCCTGTATTTATTTTCTTGTAATAGTTTCAGAGTTTCAGGTCTTACATTATGAATGCCTACATCTCTATTGATTTTACATAAGACTGCTTTGGGTCTTCAAGATCTTACACAGGAATTTTAGTTGTTCTCTTTCCTAATTCTGCTTGGTATTTTGATGAAGAATGTATTGAATCTATAGATAGTTTTGAATATTGTAGGCATTTTAACGGTATTAATTCTTCAAGTCTGTAAACATAGGAGGTCTTCCCATGTTTTATTATGTTATTCAATTTCTCTCTTAGTGCTTTGTAGTTTTCATTGCAGGCATCTTTTACTTGCGTGGTTAAATCTATCCCAAGATACTTTATTTTTCAGTTGCTATTGTTTTTGTTTTTGTTTTTGTTTTTGTTTTTGTTTTGTACCAGAAATCAAACTCAGAACATTGTGCTTGCCAGGCAGGTGCTTATGCCTCTGAGCTATATTCCTGGCCCTGGTTGTTATTGTTAATAGCATTGTTTTTGTGACTCATTTCTCTGCAAATTGGTTATTATCATTAAAGGAAACAATCTATTGTGTTGACTTTGTCTTACTACTTTATTGAATTTTTAATCAGCTCTACTAGTTTTTTGATGGAGTCTCCAGTTTTTTGCATATATCAAATCATCTACAAACAGAGATAATTCAACTTCCTCCTTCACTGTTTAAACTATGTGTTATTTCTTTCTCTTGCCTAATTGCTCTGGCTAGAATTTCTAGTAAAATATTAAATAAGAGCCATGAGAAAGAATACTTTTGTTTTTCTCTGGATTGAGGAGAAATGATTTCAGCTTTTCCTCAATCAATATGATGATGGCTGTGGTTTTGTCATGTATAACCTTTATCATGCTGAAATGTGTTTCTTCTACCCCTAATTTCTTCACAGATTTCACCATGAAGTGATGTTGAATTTTATCAAACACTTTTTCTACTTTCATTAGGATTATCACATCATTTTTATGATTCATTCCCATGGTGTCATATATTATATCACTCCACTTGCGTATGTTGAACATCCTTACATCTCTGGAACAAAATCAGCTTGATCATGGTGAGTGATCTCTATGTGTTGTTCAATTTGACTTGGGAGTATTTTGCCTCTGTGATTTTACAGTTAGTGGTCTGTGGTTTGTTATTATTGTATACTTGTTGGTTTTATTAAAGGAATCATGCTGACCTAATAAAATTAATTCATAATGTTTCCTTGGAATAGTTTGAAAAGAATTGCTCCTCCCTCTTCTTTAAATTTGGTAAAAGTCAGTAGTGATGTCAACTATTCTGAGACATGTTGTTGATTACCATTTGAATTCATTGCTTGTGGTTGTTGCATTCAGGTTTTAATGTCCTCACAGCTCAATTTTGATAGGGCAGGTGTGTCCAAAAATGTGTACATTTCTTCTAAATTTTCAAATTTGAGACCATTTAATTTTTCATAATAACCCATAAAATTCTTTTTATTTTCATGGTATCAGTTATTTTATTTTATTTTTATTTATTTGCTTGTTTGTTTTCTTTGATTTTTTTTCCAGTACCAGGAATCGAACTCACGACCTCGCGCTTGCCGGGCAGACACTGTGCCGCTGAGCTACATCCCCAGCCCTTATGGTATCAGGTATAATGTCTCTTTTTTCACCACTAATTTTATTTATTTGGGTCTTATCCCTTTGTCCTTGGTTAGTCTACTGAAAGATTTGCCAATTTTGTTTTGTCTTTTCAAAAATAAGCTTTGTTTCACTGATCTTTTTCATTTTTGTCTCTCACTTATCATTTGTTTTTGCTTTGATCTTTGCAATTATTTTCCATTACTAAATTTTGGTTTGGTTTGTTCTTGCTCTTCTAAATTCTTGAGATACATCATTAGGTTGCTAATATGAAATCTTATTTAATGTAGCCACTCATGCTTATAAACTCTCAGACTGCTTTCGGGCATCTCACAAGTCTTGACAGGCTTTACTTCCTTTCTCAGGAACTTTGTAATTTCCCTTCTGATGCTCAACACAAAAGCCACAAATTTTTAAACACAAGTGCTGAAAATACAGCATTTGAAGTTATAGCTGAGATACACATTTAGAGAACATCATCTTTATTATAACATCTTTCACTTTGTATATTCAGGAAGAACAAATAAATGTAACATGTTTTCCCAAACTCTTCATGAAATCAAATAAAGAGAGCATTCAACTAAATATTTCTGTGTGAATTGTCCATGAACTTGATGTAACTAATTAACTACCATTTGAAACAAAAACTTCTAATAAATGACACTGACCCTGTGATATTATTTATAGTAAAATTGATCCAGTGAGTGCATATTAGCTTCACAATTCAACTTTATTTTAGAAAGAAAAAGAAAAGAAGGAAGGAAGGAAGGAAGGAAGAAAGGAAGGAGATAGACAGACAGACAGAGGCTTTTCCAGATAAGCCAGTTTTCCTTACTCTACCATTCAGATCTAGAAAGTAAACAAATCAGCATAAAAACTCAATTTTCTTATATGTTGCTTTTTGCTCTGAGTGTTTAAAGATTGTGTTAGGTAAATATTCTAAGTGTTCTATTCTCAGCTGCCAACCACAAACTACAACCATTTACACTTACACTCCTCAACCTCACACCACGCATGTCCATGCACGATCTGGCCAATGGGTGTAGGGGACCTAGAAAAGATAGTAAGGTGTGCTGGAAAGAGAGGGGTACTTTCTCACCCTGTCCCATACAGTCTGGTTCAAGACATTTATTTTTCTCAGAAGAAATCTGTAAAAGAATGAGCCCAAGAATGTTTCCACTTTCACTTTATACAGGTGCTTATGAAAGAAGACACCTGATATATTAAACACTTTGGTCCCAGATCAGAAGGGTAACATACAATAAACTTGAGATGCTGTCCCAAGGATATTTCCTAGCATACTCTGATAAGGAGTATCAAAATGTTGTTAACAAATACATTTGGATTTTCAAGGTTTAAGTATCATATAAAGTAAATATAATCACTAGGAAAGAAATGTTGTCATGTCTTTGTTTCCTGGAATGCACACTCACAGACAGATAGACACACCCACCTGAAAACTAATACAGCAATCACATTCAGACTACAGAAGTAGAAGGCAGGGGTCTACATATCATAGGGAAATACCTGAAATCTTTAACACGTGCAATATGACTTTCAAATGTGAAAAGAACATTAAAAATATATCTGAGAGTGCAACTTAGTGGTAAAACATGTGCTTAGTATGCATGAGGACCTCGATTCAATCCTTACAACTAAAAAGAAAAGTAAGCAAAAAAATAAACAAAAATAAATATGTACAGAGTCCACCAAAAAATGTATATACACTTTCAGAAAAGAAAACTAGTATGATGTTTTTTAACAGAGGTGTTATGCTCACATGGGGAACCCTAGAGGATATTTCATATTGTGGAAAATCCACTATACTGCCAGCTCTTAGATAAAAAGTTGAAAATGCATGTGCATCAATCTTAATGACCAAGATTACCCAAGTAGCAGTTTGCCACAGCAATAAGTATCTGGAAGCTAATAGCCACCACTTTGAGCACTTCTTGTAATTGTAGAAACCAAAGGTAAGTTATATTACTCTCATGATGTCTCAATAAATTTGGATTAAAATATTTATAAAGTTTTTCTTTCCCTAAAATATATATATATATACATTTTTGGTGGACTCTTTATATATGATATATATGTATATGCATACATAAATATATGCATATAGAGAGACAAATGAACATTTTACAGTATAATGTATGAGGAGAAAAGTAATCCTGATGATTAAAATATAATTTTATCTATATAGATGACTGAATTGTCAAGTTGTCCTCTCAATTGATGGCTAGTTTCAAAATTCTCCTTCAGTCAGCCTAATACCATTTTAAATGATTGTTTCATTGTGTTATTTTGATATTTGTGCATGTTTAATGAGCCAGGCTTATTAATTGGGTGACATGCAAATTAACATGTTCAGAGTATAAAAGAGTATTATGAATGATGACATAAATTTTCCTTAATCTTCAATAAGATGACAAAATGAAAATGGATAAGAAGAGAATAAAAATGCTGTAAAGTTCACCACTATTCATCATCTGCCATGAATTTGCTATAAGTGTTTCTGAAAAACCTTAGAGTTCCATAAAGTTCAATTTCATTTCGCAATGTTGAGTCTTAGAAGACCACCAATTGTCAAGCTTCTGGAATGTGTTAGGTTTTACCTTTCAGAACTTAATATATCTTGGTTTGGATTTTAGAAGGTCATGACACATGAAGGGAAACTCACTCAGTTTTGTCCTTCAAATGTTTTGCTAAATATTTTGTATCTTCCCAGGGAGGCACTAACATATTTAAAAATTAGATATAGACAATAACACATCCTAAACACTGCTTTTATCAAACTCTAGTTTTTTAAACCCATGAATAGTACAACCAGAATAATATTTAGATAAAACTAGTATACCATTTTGTACAATAACATTAAATAATGGGAAATTATATCTGCTTTTAAAAGTTTGCCATTGGCAATCACTAGAGCTAGCTCCGTGAGGGTGCGTCTTGCATTACAATATGTAGAGTTTTGGCACTGAATATTCTTTACAAAAATCTACTCCAAATTGCACCCAACCCCCATATAGGGTACAGATTCTCATGCCATATTTTCAAGGCACTTTCTAATATTAAGTGAAAATCACCAAATGTATTAAAACTGAATTCTGAATATAAATGAACCTGCTGTCTATGGGACTGAGCTTGAAATGTGGTAACAAAGTGTCAAAATTAGAAAAGCCCCATAATAGCATCTTTTGTAGAAGGTGAGAACACTTTCAATTTTTCTGATAATAAATTCAGATTGCTTCTGGATCTCAGGCTTGGCTGTATCTCAATGCTGACATCTCATAAATGGCAATAATGACAAGTAAGAGAGAGGCAGATTTTGAGCAATTTTGCTTTGAAATCTGTCTCACGCAACGTCTGCATTTCCCAACCACATGCAAAAACTGACAAGCTCACTAAGAAGTGACATTCTTTCACTGACTGTTCCCTAATATTCCAGAACTTAAAGAGTAAGGAGAGTTAAGAAAAGCACCTCCTTAGCAAAATTTGAAAATCGATGGGGTCAAAGATCAGAGAAACAGGCCAGAGGGAAAACAGCACAACATTGTTACGGATTTATCACAGATCTCTCCATATGTTTCCTTTGCATGCAAAACTCAAATTCCACAGATTCTGAAATTCTTTCTTGAGACAGGGTCTCACTCTAATGCAGACTGGCCTTGAAGTCTTTATGTAGCCCAGTCTGATCTCAAACTCTCAACAATCCCCTTGCTTCAGCCTCCCGAGTGCTGTCATTCCCAGCATGCACCAGGACACCTGGAAGATTCTGAATTTGGATATTAAACATCCTCAATAGTCAAACTTGTAAAATATTATATGATATTTTTATCTCCACATATGACATACGAAACCTAAGACTTATAATTAGAACTATTTCTTAAAATCATTGTTATGTCCTTTATAGTCTTTTTAGTTTTGCATTATTTCAAGGCTGGCTAAGAAACAAAAAGATGAAAGATCTTCAATATGTCCATAGTTCCAATGCACTGGTTTGCTCTTAAGTCGGTGGTTTCCATCTCAAGGAAATTCTATGGTGAAAAGTGAGGAATCCTGAGTGTCTTTTCCTAAGAAGACCCCCATCAAGGACTTGAGCAGATACTGCTACTGCCCCTCTATGGCATCGTCATGCATTCCTTGTTCTTTGCAAACTGGACAACAGGTACCGTTCACCAGTTCAGGACTAGGACATGGAGCTGGTGGACACATCTGCACCACGCATATGACTTGGCCGCTCTGAAAGGCAACATTCAAACATCATTCCATGTTTCTTACCATAAAATTCCTAAAGACAGAGACACTTTCCAAGAATGTGTAGTCTGATTAACTATCTCAAGCTAGTAAAAATCACCCCTCATCCAAGCTAATGTTTGCATGTGGTTTCTATTTATCGTCCTTTTCTTCCCCTTGCAGCATGTGGAGCAAGACGGAAGTGCAGGACCACATCACATGACCTGTGATATTATACAGCATGGTTTGCAGGAGGAATTTCATGTCTTTCCAAAGAGCTGGTAGGAACAATTTCTGCTCAGAAAGCAAACAAAAGAACTACCGGGCATTTGTTTTTCATTTTCATGGATACAATACATTTTTATATTTCCATAGAAACTGTGTTGTTTAATGAATGCTTTCAGGTCATATTTTTTTATAAGCCTGACTAAGAATAATGAGATGACCCCAAGTCTCTTTCTGCCTCAGTTTCCTCCTGTGACCTGGGCCAAGTGGCATGAACATCCTAAGCTCGCTCATCTATTAGTGAAAATATAAAAGGCTCCCAATTTATCTGGCAATTGCTCATTAGACTGCAGCTACGTTTATGTCCACGGTAACAGAAGCCTTGAAATTCCACACCACTCTGCTGATCTTAAAAAGATGCCTAGAATCTACTCACAAAGAGGATATATTTTCTCTGTTCTTGAATATTTCAGTCGTGTTTCAACTGGCTGGCTAGGCGAAGCAAAGCTTGGAAATGATGGGAAATTTCTGGCAGTCCCTACCTCACAGGTACAGTGCACACAGTCCCCTTTCATCCAGTGCTCTCGGTCCTGCCTCTGCGTCCCTTTATCATCCGTGCATCCTGCCTGCCTCAGGCGTGCCTCCAGCTTGTTTATCTGGAAGAGGAGGGGAGAAAGGAAAGTGGGAATTGAAGTAGGCACCAACAAAGCTGGTACATAGCACTGTTTGATGAGCTGTTTTACTCTGTAAGCATAGTCCTAGAAAGCAAGAGAAACTTCAAAGCCCATATAATTTCTCTTAACATTTTCTCCAAAAGCTTTAATGAATCTCAACCATCCAGTCAATAATCCCATAACAGCTCCCACACGGGGACAAACACTGGACAGAGATTTAGGATTCCAAGCAGTCAATTCCTAAAAGAAACACAAGTAAAATCAATAAGCAAAATGACATATTTGGAAGAGCTCAAAAGTAGCAACTAATTCATTTAACCTATATTTTGTATCTTTTCTTGTCACTTCAGTTATCATAAGCAGAATTCATTTGACAAATTTTTTTTTAGGTTTCAAAGGTAAAAGCAATCAATACAGGGTCTTAAGGATCTTATGATCTGGTAGAAAGACAGACCAATAAGCCATAGCTCTGAGCCAATCAGATAACGAGGGTGTAGCATGGCGGAGACAAAGAAACTGCAGTCAGCACTGCCTCAGCAGTCAGGGGAGATCTTATGCTAGAGACTGAACTGCATCTCCCAAACTCATGAGTTCAAGGCTTAACCCCAGCATGACTGCCTAGAGGGAGGCCACTAATTAAGATATTGCAGTTAACATGAGGTCATGAGGGTGGAGCTCCCATGCAATTTCAGCAGTGTCCTTATAAGAAGAGAAAGGGAAAGTAGGAGAGCACACAGAGGAAAGACTAGGTAAGGATACAGGAGGAAGACGACCAGCAGCAAGCTGGAAAAGGGCCTCAGGAAAACCACTCGCCTAACATCTTTATCTTGGGCTGCCACACTCCAGAACTGTGAGGAAGTAAGTGTATTTTGTATAATGTCTAGGCAGACTAATATGCTTTGAGTGAGAAAAAAACTATTCGAGCTGTGAAAGATGAAAGTCTTTCACAAGAACAAGGAGAGAAAAGGCATTTTAGGGAAATGGAAATAAAAGTATGGATCCAGACCCAGAAATCACAAGTAGGTGAGTACTTGCTCATACCAGGGGAGGGCTCTCAGGTAAACTCAGAAAAAGTCAATCTGGATGAGTGGGCAGCAAAGGTAATTCAGACCTTAAAAGTCATGTAAATTAATTCGGTATAATCATTAAACAAAAGAAATGCCACAATGGCCACTGCAGGGGCAGTATGAAGGACTGACTGGTGAGAGTTGGAAAGGACAGCACAGGAAAGAACAGAATGATTAACTTGGGTCAAGTGAAGGCAGGAGTGAGACTCAAAAGAGCTGTTTAACAGGTCAAGCTGTTTGGCAGGATAAGGGATGGAGACAAAGAGAAGTATCAAAGACTGCTCCAGAGATCCTCTTTATAGCCAGTGCATAAACAGCAGCGACATTCACTAAGATATTATCCTGGAGAATATGCTGCAAAGGAGTAATAATATGCAGAGATATGAAAGATGTAGGAGGATCTAGCAGCTCCCAGTGTCAGGAGGAGGCTGCCAAGTTGGAATCAGCAGGATATCAAAGAGCCAAGTTCAAGCCAGCAGGGAGCTGAGTTCAAGCCAGCACAAGACACATGGAGTGTTATAAGCTGAAAATGTCAGGTTCCAGCCTCTCAGCCAGAAACCAGTAGAACTAGAGGTGCAGGCTTGCTGAGATTATCGGCTACCCCACCTAAAAGCTACAGCTGGCTTGCTGGGATTAATTAACATGGATCTGGGCTCTGTCTGCCTGATACGTCTACCACTTACAGCAGAGACATGCCTTTCAGTGGAAATTTTTTTCTTCCTTTGATCTCCAGTTTTGCATCTAATCTCTTCTTCTTCTATTTCTCTATTTTTTGCTAACCCTTTTTAAATTTTCTTCCCTGAGCATAAAATTACCCTACTGAGGGCTAATTTACAATTTCTGATTTGTTTCAGATTTTGTTATATAGCCACAAATTTAGTCCATACAGTTAAAGGTAGTAAATTAAAAGTTACAACATTTTGTTATTTTCTAGGGTATATTTGATGCTATTGTCATTACTGACTGTACTATTTTACCTTTGGTAACATGATTGTTCTAATTAGTTGTTCTTCCTGGTATGCCAAGACTGAGATTCCCTTAGGGTCATAAAAAATACTATAGCCCAGTGCCAAAGAATGAGGGGCTGGGCCAAATAGGCAAGGATTTCTCATCTCCAATAAATTGAAGAGGTAGGATCTTGCAAACGACTCAAAACCCAAAAGCCAGGTACACCTAGAAGACATCTTTGAGTAGCCATGTCCTAAGGGGGTTCAAATCACTAGCAATAAAGCTACCTGTCATAGGCAATTTATAAATACTAACCCAGGAATTAATTAAAAATTACATATATTATACATAATATATATATTTCTATATACATATATATTTATATATATAGAGAGAGACAGACAGACAGACTTAAATATGTGAAATTGAAAACCAATGGCAGAAGATCACAAGAACTTCATAAATATGTGGAAATTAAATGAGACCCTCCTGAACACCCAATAAGTCACAGGTGAAGTTAAAGAAGAAATCAGTTTCTACAATTAAAAAAATAAGAACAATACAATATACCAGAATATTTGGGGTGCAATGAAAGCAGTCCTAAGAGGAAAATTTATGGCAATTAATTCTCATATCAGAAAAACAGAGTGAGCTCAAATAAACAACATAATGTTGAATCTCAAGCTTATAGAAAAAGAAGAGCAAGTCAAGCCAAAAGTTCATCTGAGGAAAGAATGTGTAAAGATCAGAGCAGAAATTAATGCAATGAATACTAAGAAAACAATACAAAGAATCAATAAGTTGAAAAGTAGGTTCACTGAAAGATTAAATAAAGTTGACAAACCCTTAGCCAACCTTATCAAAAAAAAAAAAAACTGTGAAGAGAAGACTCAAATCCATGCAATTAGGAATGAAAAACATGAAGTCACAACAGATCTTGCAGAAATCCAGAAGATCATTAGTACTTATTTTGAGAACCTGTATTTGAATGAGAAGGAAAATTCAGAAGAAATAAACTGATTCCTAGATACATTTGAATTACTAAAGCTGAATCAAGAAGATATAAATGTCTAAACAAAACAATATCAGTCAATGAAACTGAAGTTGTAATTAACAGCTTATCAAGGAAAACTCCAGGTCCCGATGGAGTCATTCAATCAAGAAAACCACAGGTCCTCGGGGCTGGGGATTTAGCTCAGTGGCAAAGCGCCTACAAAGTGAGCTCAAGGTCAGCCTGAACTGCATAGTGAGACCCTGTCAAAAAAAAAAAAAAAAAAAAAAAAAAGACAATATAGAGAAGGGAACAAAACACTGGTATTTCTCTCCAGCTTGACTGTGCTGAAGAAAGATGTGTCTAAATGACTTCCTAAAGTCTCACATGTCCATAAGTGGGGATTTGATTTGATTGGTAAGGTGCTTGGATCACGTATGTGCAATATTCATCAGTGTATTAGTCCACTGATGAACTTACAGCAAAATGCGATGCTGGCTCATATATTAATGTGATAATTAGCTAATAGCTAAGTATGATGAGTTTATTTGTAATTTTTATGGTGAAGCCTGATGGGAAGAAGCGGGTCACTGTGGAC